GGCGGGGGCGGCAGCCCCTTCCCTGACGTTTGCCTCTGTGTTGCAGAGGGCGCTGAACGCCTATTTCGAGCCTCCGCTGGAGAAGGAGGAGGCGGCGGTGCCGCCGGCCTGCGCTGGGCCCGGCAGCTGGTAGGTGACCCCCGGGGCGGTGGGGGGGTGTGTGTGTTGGGGGGGGTGTGTATGTGACAGCACGGCGGGTCGTGGTATGTGGTATACCCCCTGAGGAGCAGTGGTCCTCTCTCTGCCTGACTTCGCGCTTCTGCTGACGCGTGGTGTGGTAGGTGGCTGCTGTTCCTCGTATTTATGTTTCCACGCCAGTTCTCCTTTCCCAAGGTTTCCCCCTTGGAGGGGAATAGCCAGCTCCTCTTGAGAAGCTGTCAGACTTGCAGGCTGCGCTTTCCATCTGTGGGTGCTTTCACCACTTTACTCTGGGCTAGTAGATGGTGAGCCTTTTGGAGAAGAGACGAGGTCATTTTCTCTTCGTGGCCTTGTCTTGTGGAGTAATATGCATGCAGATTTTACTGTACACACAGAGATTTGCATATGTGTAAACTGTGCGTATATGTCATCAACTAGTTGTATACATATTTATATTTCTATAAATAAAGTTGACACGTACATGCACACCTTGCTATACGTACCTGTGGAAGTCAGGATCTGTGTCTCATACACACTGACGCTCTTGGAGCATACCCGTCGGGCATACCCAGCGTATTGAACTGCAGGTGAGCCTTTACAGATCCCTGCCATACACAGTCCTGAGGGAAGCTTTTTTCCTGTCGAATTATTTGTCACAGGCTAGCATGTTACATAGAAGAGCCCTTATGATCTTTATAGTTATGAATAAGCTGTATTTCATAACAGCATACCTGGTTTTGCTTGATACGTATGTATGAAAAAATGTAAGCCCACTGAACATTAGCACTGGTCTCTAGGTAGTCCATGATGAGTCAGAATATATTTGCATCAAATTGGCAGCACCTTTTTCTTTCCCAGCCTCTTTCTGTTTTCGCACTGTGTGTTCTGTCTTGACCTGTGGTATGCAGGATGTGTTGGGAGGGAAGACTATTTGGAGACGTCCCAGTCAGGGGAAGAACACTGCAGACCACACAGACTTTCATATTTCACCTCATAGTCCTTCAGTTCACAGTATAAATGTAAAAAGTAATAATGGAAGTATTGGAGGCATATTCCACATTACTTACCTACTTAAATATCCCTTAGATGCTTTTCCTTTGTCTGCTTTTCTTTTTCTGTTCAATTTAGATTATATATGCATGGTGGCAGGATCTTACATTGTTTTTGCAGCACTAGGTACTAAATTCTAGGGAATAAATTTGTTTTGGTTCCAGGCCTTATTTTCATGTGTGCATAAAGATTCTGTGTTTAAAAACAAAACCCTAGTACTCCAACTTTTCCAAAATACAGTTTGTCTAGTCTTAGCTATAATATTTAATGTGTTTCATTGCAGACTTTCTCTTTACTCAACAAACGTACATTGGATCAGTGTTGTAGTTTAACCCTGGTTGGCAGCTCAGTCCCACACAACCACTTACTGACTTCTCCCCGTTGAGATGGGGGAGAGAATCAGAAGGGTAAAAATGTGAAAACTCATGGATTGAGATGACATTTTAATAGGTAAAGCAAAAGCTGTGCACACAGGCAAAGCAAACAAGGAATTCATTCACTACTTCCCGTGCGTAGGCAGGTGTTCAGCCACCTCCAGGAAAGCAGGGCTCCATCACATGTAACGGTTACTCAGGACGACAAGTGCCGTAACCCTAAGCGTTCCCCCTTCCTCTTCCTTCCCACCCGTTTTTATTGCTAAGTACAATGTCATATGGCATGGGATATCTCTTTGGTCAGTTGGAATCACCTGTCCCGGCTGTGTCCCCTCCCAACCTCTTGCCTACCCCAAGCCCACTCACTGTTGGGGCAGCATGTGAAGCATAGAAGGCCCTGATGCTATGTAAGCACTGCTCACAACAGCTAACACATTCCGGTGTTACCAACTCTGTTTTGGTTACAAGTCCAAAATACAGCACCATCTGTGCTGCTGTGAAGAAAATTAACTCTATCCCAGCCAAAACCAGGATAACCATGTTTTAGCAGGTAGAGTATGGTTCTCTTTAGCAGCACAATCTGCCCAGACTGGGCACTCAAACTTTGACAGTGTTGTTTAGCCTTTATGAAATCAACAGGGTAGACAGGGCCTGTGTTTTTGAGGTGGGATTTGGGGGGAATATTTCCCAAGAAAAGGACTACCAGTTTGTCACAGAGTGAGTTCGCACACGTACCTCCCCAGGGGGTTAGGCAATTGGAAGAATCTCAGCTATACTACAAAGACGGGCACATAAAAGCTTTAGTTCTTTGTTTCTAATGTGCTGCAAAGTGTTTCAAAAACTAATACAGACAGCCTGCTTCGAGCATGGGCTGAATTACAAGAGTTGAATTACTCAAGTGCTTTGGGTTACATTGGTCGCTGTCTGATTAACTTAAATCAGAATGATAAATGTTATCTTGTGTCTATAAGGAGGAGGAAAACCCACTTGCTTCACCTGTGTGCTAAGGCTCTGTATGACTGAGGTCTGTATTTTTCAGTTACTGTGCTTTTAAATTATGTTGAGATGAATATATGCTAACTTAGTTGTTGGGAAAGTTTTAGATGACCACCTGTAAGTTGTGATGGGTCTAAAACATTTTCCTTTAGATGATAAGGGAGGTAATTGCAGAAAGAATAGTATTATGCGTGTTGACAAACAAGTAAATTCTCTCTTTAGTATTGACCTCACAGCAGATGCAACTACTAGTAATGCCAGTGTCAACAGTGCAGACTCAAAGCAACAAGAAGATGACAGCAGCTTCTCACTGATAACCTGGAACATTGATGGGCTGGATCTAGGAAATCTAAAAGAACGAGCTAGAGGAATCTGTTCTTACCTGGCATTGTAAGTATTGAGATAATACCCATCTTTGTATTGTCGTGTACCCTGCTTTAAAGGAGAAAGCAAGCTTCTTGCTTTAGCCGTGTACAAAATCTTCCTGCCCAAATTATCTTAACATTAGATGCAGCAATGCAATCACTTTATAAATCCTAAAGACCTGATATACTGATTGAAAGAGGTGTGAACCTGTACAGCATCCGAAAGGTTAAATACTTTGCAATGACTACTTTAAAAAGTGTTTTTGTAACGAACAGTATTGTTGAAGTTGCAGTCATACATCAAGAGCATACTTCGTACTTCCATCCTGTACATGAGAGAAGGGTAAAACTGCAAGAAACTTGTTTCTCTCATTCCACTAGTATGAATAACTTCATGCTAGAGCAAACTTTTTGAAACTTCACTAAAAATCTTTTCTGCTATGTGAAAAGTGTCTCTCTTGCCATTACTGTTACTTGTCTATCAAAACAGACAATGTGCAAGGTAAGATAAAAGCAATAGAATCTGTGATTACCTTCTATAGTTCCACTAGTGGAAGCCTCCCGTGAATATATTTATGAGTAATTTAGCAATTACATACATTGATTTATCTTATTACAGTAACTAATCAGTGTAAATTAAATTATTTAAACAAGTGATAATTCTAGTTCCTCTTAAAACAGCAGAAACCCCTTAACTAAATCAGCTTTCAAGTGATTTTGTTAACCTGGGGTGACAATATTCTCCCTCTGTAATCAAGGCCTTAGGTTTATCTTTCACCTGCTTTGAGCAGGGCTTTTCAGCAGGGTAGCAAAAATAGGGACAGCTGTAAAGTCATCTCTAAATCAGCATTTTCAGGTCTGCTGCCCCACATGAACTGTTACTGATTGCACAGCTCTAAGAAATAAAAGAGCTTAGCGTCAATCAGACTGGAGAAAATGAATGGCAGGTTACCTAAGGGGATCTGTTGTAAGGGAATGAGGTGGTAGTTGGAATCTCCTGGAGAACTTAGATGTTGCAGAACATGTTCCAAAGCTGCTTTGCAGCTGCTTAAGTTGAATTCCTTGTGTATGTAGTATATGAAACCTGTGCAAATGTTTGCAAGATCAAGGTAAAGAAGTCATGCATTTTATTATCATACCAGTTCCATGTCCATAATAATAATTGTTTCTTCCCTTTTAACAACAGTGATGTATCTGCATGCTACTAAATATGATGGAGAGAGTTTTTGTTTTTTGTTTTTTTTTTTTAAAAAACCCAGATTCTTACAATATTGGGGAAGACAAGGACAAGATGCAGCTGAAATCTCTGATCCTGCTCCATTTGGCCTCAGAATATCACGGTGCTACCTTTCAGTAGTTAATTTAAAATCTTGTCTTGCCTGTTTCAGATACAATCCAGATGTCGTGTTTTTACAAGAGGTTATCCCACCATATCTCTGTCTTCTACAGATGAGAGCAGGCAGTTACACTATTATTCCAGGTAAGAAAAAACCCCCAGTTCCTAAATACAGAAACAGGAAAAAGTAAGTTTGATTGTATTCTGTTTGTCTTGCCAAAATCTCTGACCATTTCTAGGAATGAAAAGAGGAAAGTGAAAAAGGAAGCCCTTAAATTACTTTCTGTGTTTTGGTATCAGGATATAGTTTGATGCAAATAATGCATGTAATTAACTTGCTTGCCTGGTGGTTTCCTCTGTATTTTTTTCTGCATTTTGAAAGACAGATTGCAGGGTAGCTAAAAAAGTGCCATAGAAAGTAATTTCTTAAATATTTGCTTTTAAAACACCTGAAAACATCACAACGCTATTATGAAACTTTTAACTAATGACTTTGTACATTTTACAAGTTAACGTGATTCTCCCAGATCATGGTAAAAAGGTCTCTTTCAGAACCTTCTTTATGGAATAGTGGAAGATATCCTCAACCATTTCTTTCCCTGTTCCTCTGTAGGTAACATAGATGGCTATTTCACTGTCATAATGTTGAAAAAATCAAGAGTGAAGCTACTGAAACATGAGATAATACCTTTTCCAACAACTTCCATGATGAGGAACCTTTTGGTTGTGCATGTGAGTGTCAGTATGTACTGAACTGCTGTGTTTCCGACTTCAAAATAAAAAATCCCAGGAAAGGCTGGACTAGCTTTACTTTATGATAGTCTTAAACAGCAGAAAAACATCTCCAAACATAGAACCCCAGTTGCATTTGATACTAGCAAGCTTAAATCTTATGTGGAAGTTACTGGCCGTACTTCGTTTTCAAGTCTCATAACCTATGAAAACAAAACTAAAAGCTTGACATTCTCCTGTAAGCCACTTCTCTTCAATATAAAACAAATATTAACCAGAGGTCTGTCATTCAGTAATTTACTTTGTGATTAGGTTTTTGTCTTTGAACTTCTTATCATGGTGTGGATAGTAACATTGCCTCTTTGTTTCATGCACAGGTGACCATATCTGGTAATGAACTTTGTCTTATGACCTCTCATCTGGAGAGCACTAAAGATCACTCTAAGGAGCGTGTGAAACAGCTGCAAATAGTGTTAGACAAAATGCAGAAGGAGTCTGAGTCCACCACTGTTATATTTGGAGGGGATACAAACCTCAGAGACAGTGAGGTAAATAGAAATAAGCAACGTTGTTATTTTGAGAAGATACTCTGACAAAATCTTCTTAGGCTTTTCTGTTGTCTTTAGGAGAAATGACTTGCTTAGGCAGAACAGAGATAGGCAACATTTATTCTTAAACAGTGGAAGCGTGACTAAGTAGAAGCTGTGGTATTGCTACGCTGAGGCATTGTTATAACTGAGGTGATGTATATGAAGAGCTTTCCCAGCCTCCAGTAACAAAGTGCTTTATTGGCAATATTTGTATCTGAGAAGATGCAGGCATAGTCGATCAAGTTTTGACTTTAAAAGCATCGTTTCTTTTTGAGAAACTGATCTTTACTTGCTCAACTGTCTGTTTCTCAGAGAGTTAGTGCTTGTAGAATCAATGAAAGAAGAGTGCGCTCTGGAGAAGGAGAAAGAGGTCTTGGGAGTTTAAAATTAATCCCCCATCATCGAGACATCCGAAATTAGAAGTCATTTTTGGCTTCTGATATTAAAAGTGAAATTTATACATTATTACTAAAAGGTCAGTGTTTCATCTTTCCCTGTTGTGAAGTTCCATTGCAGTGAACTGGAATGACATTGTTTCAGAGAACATGGTGTTGACCCCCATATCTCAAAATCTCAGAACTGAACATTTATTTTGTAAGATGTTTTAGATTTAGAAAGTACTACAAAATTGGTCATGCTTTAGAGTATCATGAGAAATACCACAATTTAGAAATGTCTCCAATATCTTTGTTTTTAACAACTCATATTTTGCAGAAAAAAGTGATACAGTGACAACTCAGTTCTGTTTTTGAAGGTAAAATCTGTGAATTCAGTATCTGATAGATTTTTTTTCTCCCTTTCTACTTTCAGATTACTAAACTGGGTAATTTACCTAACAACATTGTGGATATCTGGGAATTTTTGGGTAAACCTCAACACTGCCGCTATACTTGGGACACCCACTCCAATACCAACCTGGATGCAAAGTACAAGTGCAAGATGAGGTTTGACCGCATTTACTTTCGGCCTGCAGCGCAAGAGGGAAATATTATTCCACAAAGTATGGACTTAATCGGATTGGAAAAACTAGACTGTGGCAGATTCCCTAGTGATCACTGGGGTCTTCTGTGTACCTTTGATGTGATATTATAAAAAAGAAAAAAGGCTTGCATTGTTAGTTTTTAAGTGTTTTGTTCTTCTTCATACAAAATTTTAAATTTTCAACCCTAATACATTCTCCGCTCTTGACTTCTGCTGGAATGGCTTCACTTCAAGCCAGGGTCCCCTTTTCCTCATTGTATGCATCTGTTCTTGAATTGTGTTTTTAAATTGCTATTTTTAACAATGTATGCAAATACAAAACCAAATTCTAGCTTTCAAGTGGGAGGAAAAACCTGTAAATAAAATTCAAACATACGTGGTGGTTTAAAAGGCAGTTTTATTTTGGCGTGTATTATAATCTTGTAATAAATGCTGCTTTTTTATTTTAAGAATACTTTTATTATGCCTGCTTTGTTTCTTTTGTAACCATTTCCATGATCCTTTACAACTCTGTCTTTTGTAGGGCGTTTTGTATTAGCTTTTGAAGTTTGTGTTGTATGCGTGTACGCCTTCAGGCAACACGATAAAGGAGCTGAGGAAAGAATGACAGATTCTTACCGAATAAGGGTTTCTTGAGTAAGAATTAAACTAATATTGAACAGATTTAAGAATGGTATGTTTTCTGTTCAATAAGAAAAGGATATAGGCAGATACAGGGAAGTAAAGGGGTGTGTATATATATACTCACCTTATATATATATATACCGTATACACTTGGGATGGTGTATACCTTACTTTGTGTTTATTAACCTGGATATGAGTTGCAGATTAAAACACGTTATCTTTCCTCCTGGAAACTCTGCTGAGGCACATGGGAGATAAGGAGGTGATTGGTAGCAGCCAGCATGGCTTCATCAAGGGCAAATCATGCCTGACAAATTTGGTGGCCTTCTACAAGGGGGTTACAGTGGCAGGGGACAAGGGAAGAGCAACTGATGTGATTTACCTGGACTTGTGCAAAGCATTTGACAGTGTCCCACACAATATCCTGGTCTCTAAATTGGAGAGATGTGGATTCGACAGATGGACCACTCGGTGGATAAAGAACTGGCTGGGTGGTCGCACACAAAGAGTTGTGGTCAACAGCTCGATGTCCAAGTGGAGACCAGTGATGAGTGGCGTTCCTCAGGGGCTGGTACTGGGACTGGTGCTGTTCAACATCTCTGTTGGTGACATGGACAGTGGGGTCAAGTGCACCATCAGCAAGTCTGCTGATGTTAACAAGCTGTGTGGTGGGGTAGACACACTGGAGGGGAGGGATGCCATCCAGAGGGACCTGGACAGGCTGGAGAGGTGGGCCCAAGCCAACCTCATGCAGTTCAACAAGGCCAAGTGCAAGGTCCTACATCTGGGTCGGGGCAATCCCAAGCACAAATACAGGCTCGGCGGGGAATGGCTGGAGAGTAGCCCTGAGGAGAAGGACCTGGGGGTGCTGATTGATGAGAAGCTCAACATGAGTCAGCAATGTGCGATGGCAGCCCAGAAGGCCAACCATATCCTGGGCTGCATCAGAAGTATGGTCAGCAGGTCAAGGGAGGTGATTCTGCTCCTCTACTCCACTCTGGTGAGACCCCACCCAGAGTACTGCGTCCATCTCTGGAGCCCCCAACATAGGAAAGGCGTGGACCTGTTGGACCAGGCCAGAGGAGGGCCACGAGGCTGATTCAAGGGCTGGAGCACCTCTCCTATGAGGAGAGGCTGAGAGAGTTGGGGCTGTTCAGCCTGGAGAAGAGAAGAGAAGGCTCTGGGGAGATCTTATTGTGGTCTTCCAGTACCTAAAGGGGGCCTACAGGAGAGCTGGGGAAGGACTTTTCACAAGGGCATGTAGCGATAGGATGAAGGGGAATGGCTTCAAACTGGAATAGCGTAGATTTAGATTAGATATTAGGAAGTAATTTTTCACTGTGAGGGTGGTGAGGCACTGGAACAGGTTGCCCAGAGAAGCTGTGGATGCGCCATCCCTGGAGGTGTTCAAGGCCAGGCTGAATGGGGCTTGGAGTAACCTGGTCTAGTGGGAGGTGTCCCTGTCTATGGCAGGGGGGCTGGAACTAGTTGATCTTTAAGGTTTCTTCCAACCTAAACCATTCTATGATTCTATGATCTTTCCAGTGAGCTTCTAGAAACAGTGCTCTTATAAACTGCTGTGCAAAGCCTGGGCAGCTCAAGGTTTCACTGACTTTGCAAAAGACAAACAGCCTTTTTTACTCAAAGAACTGTGTAATCAGTTTCGTAGAAGTTGGTGTTTTATAGATGTGCAAAGTACTAAGCTGATTTAAAACAGAAAGTCTCCTTTCTGATATGAAGTTCAGTTCACAGGTAAGCCATGTCACTGACGCAAAGTGAACACAGAGAATGGTGGCCTGAATTCCTTTACTTCTTTTTTTCGGTTGTTGTTTGTCTTTGGTCTTGCGGCCAAAGCTTACGAACAACTTGTGTTTTGCTGGACTTCTGTGGTGGGTCAGCCATGGCTGGTAGTCAAGCTCCCACCCAGCCGCTTGCTCAGTCCTCCCTTCCCCAGCGAGATGGGAGGAGAAAACAGAGAAAAACAGAAACAGGATAGCTCATGGGTTGAGATAAAGACAGGGAGATCACACAATTACCACCAGGGGCAAAATACACTTGGTTTGGGGAAATTAATTGACGGCCAATTAATACATTTAATGACTGATTTGGATATCGAGAAGCAAGTAGATGAACTTTGAAACACAGGGGAAACACCTCTCTTCTTCCCTTTCCCTGGCTCAGTGTCACGCCAGGCTCCTCTCCTCCTACTTGTTGTTTCAGCAGGTCACGCTCTGTCCCTTCAGCAAGGTGTGGAGCAGCACGGGACGGGGTTAGAGTCCCACTGCCATGCCTCTCAGCTGCGCCTTCCCTCTCCCACTTCTCCTCTGCTCTGGGGTGGATCCTCCACAGGCTCAGGCAGTATGTGCTCTGCCATGGAACACCTCCTCCGACCTTGGTGTTCCCTCTGCTGTTTCTCGCACTTTTTTTACCCCTTCCTCCTCTGCTCGCTCAGCATTTGCTGTCATTTCTGACACAGGCTTTCCCCACGGTGCCACCATCTTGGCTGTGAGGTCCACTTCACAGGGGCCGCCCCTGCGGCCCCCCACTGCCAGCACCCAGGCACCTGCACCCACTGCAATTTAAAAAAAAAACCAAAACCCAGCTTCTCGCCCAGGCAAACAGGGGTGACACCCCCCTGCAGCCCTACCCGCCCAGCAAGGAAAACTTCACTGATGCCATTATTGCTTAGCCTAACATGTCTGCTTGCGTGCTCCCACCAGCCAAGCGCTGGGGAAGGAGGACAGTGTCTGCCCATTGCCCTTCCCGCCTCTGTCTTGCACCCTGAAAACACAGCGAGTGGGGCTTGGCACGGTACAGTGCAGCAGAAGGCAAATTTGTGGATCGCTACCCTGACACAGTCGGGATCCTCAACCAGCTCCTCCTGGTCCCAGGGACGGGGACGCCTGAGGTAGACGTGGTTTTCTGTTGATTCAACAGGAGGCTGTGGTGACCTTACTGAACAAGTGAATAAACCCCAGGAAGTTAATTCATCTCCACGGAAATCAGCAGCAGAAATATCACAGTTCTGCTTTCGCTTCTTTAAACATCAGACCCCAAATTCCCTTTACTAAATGTGAAAGAGGACGGCCCGTTTTGGGAAGGATGTCTGAATCCTTGTGTCCTGATCAGTCTTAGTGTATCTAATTATTTTATAATAATAGCTTCAAAAACAAGGAGGGAGAAATCACTGTCACTTTTTTTTAACTTATGGTAGGCCCGTGATCTCTTCTTTCTATCCCCAAATAAATAGTTCTGTAAAAAGGTGAAAAATACCCACAACTGCCAGGATTTTCCTTTGGGGTTTGAAATGGGGCTGGCACAGTCACACTGTCTGACTCACTGCAGGGTCTCTTCTTCCTCACCAAGAACCTTCAAAGGAATGTCATGGGGTTTGCTTTGACTGCTCACGCCTCCTCCCCCTCCCTGGTAGCTACAGCCAAAGGATTTGTGGGGAAGGTGTACGTGGGCGATAACGATGGTTTAACTTTCCTAAAGATGTTGGAGAAGGGATTAGCACAATAAACTCATGCTTTGGCACAAGAAGCACCAGTTTATGTGGCCTCCTGTATTACGGCTGGTTTTGTTTATGTGGCTACATCTTCTGGATCACTTTGGAAGATATGAAAAAGGCTGACTGCTGTTGTTCTAGGATAGGTATTTAATGTGGGGAAGAAAGAAGAGAGAAAAGAGGATTCAGAGCAGTGCGCAACTCCGTACCTAAACTCCTGACACATTTCTAGCATTTACTAACTGATTCCCTCCTCTGATGCACAGTGTCTCTTAACCTTTGAAATAGACAGTGGGTGGCAATATAATATTTTTATTAAGAACAAGCACAGACATAACACTTTGTAAGGGCCAATTCATTTTTCTAATTATAAAAGATAGGCAAGAGGAAGACTATATTCAGTGCAATTAGTGGCTAGTCATTCTTTCAGAATGAGGAAATTATACATACAGCCTTTAAAACTCTTCTTCTTGAACTACAGAAAAAGTGGTAATACTTAAAGAAATTTAAGAAGACATAAATGCTAAATGTTTTACTGACTATTGGATGTGAAGCAATACATCTTTAATTAAATATACTTTAAACCACTTAATGAGCATCTAAATTGCTGACAATCAAGAGGAGTCAGAGCCCTTCAATTAATTTGCCTCTTAATTTAATTAGTGATGTAAAAGGTGAAATATCTGCTGGATACAGCAACTAAAACTTAAAGGGATAGAAACAACAAAGCTAAACCAAGCAAAAGATTTCTTGGACTACAACTTGTAATTTGATTTGTTTTCCTGATCAGTAACATAATATTAAGGCATCTATATGTCCCAAAGGACTTATACAAACACATGAATGTGAGAAAATGCAATAGTTCTTTCCTGTTAATAATCAACAGCAACAGTGGACCTTGTGGAAATCATGTACTATTGGAGGCATTATTTTATTACTATTTTGATTCATGTATCAAGAGAAGCAATTTCTTCTGAGGATTCAGCCAG